AATTTATCTAAAAGAAAATCTAATAATATTAACTAATATCTAATGAACTAACTAATAACAATATTTAACGGTTTAAATTTCAAAAAAAAATAAAATATACATAAAATATATAAAAAATAATAATATTACTTAAATTTTACTTACCACTGCTTGATCTACTAGATTGCAACAAGAAAAATGTGTTAAACTGCTTCAAATGGAAGAATGGAGGAAAGGGGCGCAAGAGCAAACTCGGGACAAAGAGGAAAATGAAAATGAAAGGAGAAAGACCAAAATGAAAGCAGAAGGGCGGAGCGGCAGGGCATAGGGAAGCTTACCGACGAAACCCACATTGCTACAGTCTAAAGCTGCTCATCTCTGCGCTGCATCAGGATTCCCGTTGACTGGACAATCACCGACGAGCATCAAGTTGGAGCTGCGCATATTACCGACCTATATCTATTCGGTAAACAAAGTAAAAGCTGCACCGCCAGTGGCCACCAGCCGGATTCGCGGGGAGTTGCTGAAGGGCAAGTTACCGACAAGCACTATGTCGGAAACGTTATCAAAAAGCTGCACCCCTAACGCAGGCAGCCAGCTGGTTGGCGGAGGGGGGGTGCATTGGGAGTGGACATTACCGAGGAGGTGGACGTTGGAAACTGATCCTCAATTACCGACGAGACTTTTGTTTCAAATTAATTTACAGGCGTACTTTTTGTCGGTGATATGCCTTTCCTCCTTTCCCATGCCGGCCGGAGTTTTGGTTACAATTACCGACAAGGAACACGTACGTATTCTGTTAAATCACCGACGAGTCTTGCGTCTGTACAAGAAATAATATATCTTACTGCCATTTTTACTGTTGCTCAAGATGCAGACGTATATCTTGTCGGTAAATGGATCCTTCACCGAGAAACCTTCTTACCTCGGTGATATGTGGTCGGTGAAGCTCGGTTTTCTTGTAGTGTTTACCAGTCAAGATGTACAAAAATTTATAACTTCATATATACGATCATGACTAAAACTAAGGAAGTACTGTACACAAAAATTTCTAAGTCAAGCATGGTGACTAACGGCCTAGCTACAAAGATCTAAGTCCAAAAGTGCCTAGCTGTCTAGCTCGTCACTCCCCTGGACTCCCCATGCGTCGGGTCTCACTACCTGAAATGGTGGACATGGAAAACTATGAGATAAACTCAGTAAGTAAATATGGAGTGCCCTTATTAAACTTAAAGCATGCCAACAAATGCAATCACGAAAAACGGATACAGTACGGGAACGAAATAGACGTCTCCTCTATAGGTCATGGCCAGTGTTTAAACCTCCCACTGGCAGGCTACACTATTTGCTGGTGTATAACCCCCACTAGCAGGGTCACTCCAACGAACCGGTTCTATCAATAACATATCGACATGTGCTAACGTTTAACCCCCACTAGCAAGATCATTAAAAACATAACCACATTGGAGACAAAACAAGCAGAAGTTAACAGAAAAATCTTAATTCACCAATCACTTTCAAATCGTCAGGATAATCAATTAAATTTCAAGTAGGCATGCTCAATTTAATGAAAAGCATAAAAAAATTTCACTTCAAATCAGTCATACTTACTTTTGCATAATACGGGTTTAGTCCCGCCATCACTTCAAAAACAAATCAAAACATGCTTTTAAAAACTGTACGGGCATTACCATAAATTTACTTACCTCAATCGCATAAAGCAGAAAACTCACTCCCAGAGCTAGGGTGATAGAATAATCAGGAACCTAGCCAAAATATTCCAGAATTAATAACTATATGAAAACTACCTATTTAATCCTTTTCAATATTGTTGCTGGCAAAACTCCAAAATGCCATATTTATTATTTATATTTTTTTCTCCAAAATTTAACATTGCAACCGGATTATATATATATATATACTTACATATATACAAATACATATATATATATATATATATATATATGTATACATAGCTCCTTAATCCCACAGACAGCAAAATGGAAGAACCGGTTTTGGGCAATCTAGTGGCTAACACACGGGATTTTCTCTATACAATTTCACAACAATTACTCAAGCTAATTTCCACTTAATTTAAACAAAACCCACTTAAAGCTATCGAAATTCCCCCATTTTTTCCTTGGCAGCATTCGGCAATCCCAGGGCAGCCACACAAAGGACCAAATTCA